GCTGCAACCAGCCACCAGCAGCGGGCTCCTGTACGCAGCCAGGTGAACCAGACCTCAGTAGTGCTGACCCGAGGATGCTGTTTCATGATAAAGCTCAGGGAGGAGGATTACCTGGTGAACCTCGAGCTGTCCTAGTGTCTCTCGGGCTCTCCTCAACCCAGCTGTGCCTGTTTCTGAGTGGTTTTGCCTGGAATGCCTGCCTCCCCTCAGATAGCAGGTGGTTGCTGCCCTAACTCATTCCTCCCAACACTCTTCCCTGCAAGCTTCTCCCTCTCTACCATTTTCCCAATTAAGGGCTCCATTTCATTTTGGTTGTTTCTACGTCTAGCAGTACACAAGTTCTGCCCTCCCACATGTGCCTCACTGACAATCCAGTTCAACTTGCCCATGTGCCTTGTGTCTCTCAGCCTTATCTCTCACCAACAAGTCTCCTGCAGCCTCCTAAAAAAGCTGTTACCAAATACCACAACTAGTTAATTCAACTCCACTTCCCTGTAACACTGCTCCAGTGCCTTGCAAGCCTTAGTCGGTGCAGTTGCAAGCTCCCTGACAGCGAGGTGCCCGCACCACAAGGAAGCTGCCTCTCGCTTCCGCAGTGCAGGCTGTTTCCCCTCTGATCCTACAGCCTGGAGCTGCCCGCACGTACGTCGCTTTAGGGCGCTCAACACCCCTCCTACCCCAACTCCAGAGCTCATCTTCTCAGCTTGGCACCCAACACACAGCACATCTCTCTCCTGGAAGATGACCTGGTTTTCCTAAAGGACTCCAAAGAAGATTCCCCTCGTCGCTGTCAGTCACAGCCACCATAATTTCTTCTTTCCCTGTGACATCTCTGTCCCCGGCCAGTTTCTTAGTAACCCCTTCTGTCCTCTGCGGCTTGCCACAGTGCCAGCCAGCTTGACTACAAGCTCACGTACCTCAGGCATATTACTTTCCAGTCATCCTCTTCTTCAGTCGCTAATGGACACTTCTACTTAAGAACCAGGTAGCCTGACAACTTCGGTCATAGCTTTGCCTTCTACATCACTCAAGAGGGGCAAAGATGCCTGTGTTAGGACAGGCACACTAGATAAATAACACATGTTTTAAAAAATACAATTAAGTATCACAGACTATGAGGAAAAGCAGTTGGCTAGAAAAAAAAAAAAAAGAGCAAAAAAAGAGGAAAAAAAACCCTGCCCTTGGAGGGAAGACTGCTTCTCAGTCCTTCTTCTTGTCTTGCTCCTTAAACAGAACTTGGAACACGATTCAGCCCTCTGAGCCTGTCAGCAAACTATTGCTCACAATCACAATCTTTAAGATACAGGAGGTGCACTTACCTTTCCCACAGTATGTCTTCTCTGACAGGGTCACATACTAGCTGTCCTTTTATATAAGCATTTGCATCTCTAAAAAATGAGGAGATTGCCTGAAGAAGGTGCTTTGCATCATCCATGCTCTCGTCACTAAATTCTACTCCTAAGAAAAAAAAATATTTCGCTGTTAAAATAGAGAGGATGTTGTCTGTCATGCACAGGAACGATATTCTGAGACAAAGTCATTCCAGGAAAAGTTTGTTGTTATTTGTCATACCAAACCTTTCTCAAAATTAATTGCATATTTAATTAAAAACACTGTTCTTCATGCACATTAGGTGAATTAAATCAATATAAGAGACAATCATTACATATGACAAAGTATAACCTACTGGAAAGGTATCAGACTAATTCAAAACGGTGTCTGGAAGCTGACTGAAGAAATAGCTACTTGACTTTTTTTCTTCTCATTATTGACTCTCTCTGTGAGGTTATTACTCCAAAGCATTTGGATTAGATATATTTCTAAGCATCCCCCAGATTTCAGTTGGCAAGACATACCTTTGATTTCACCCCTAATTTTGTTCCTATTTTAATTTAGGTAGACACGATCTGTATTTGGAGACCTCCACAAAGAGACCTAACTCTCACCACTGAATCCATGAGGAATACAGGCACTTCTAGTTAAAGGGCTGCTTCACCAGCACCTAAAATCTAGACGGACCTAAAAATTTGCAGTCTAGATTCTGCACTAGATATACAGTTCCCTCACAATATCAAAACTAAATTGACCGTATCAATTTTGGAAGGTGACTGTTAGAGAAAACACAAATTGCTTAAACTCGTAAGGGCACGTCTGGGATGGGATTCATCACGCTCGCACCTAAGCCTCTGTCGTGGTTTAACCCGGCAGGCAACGAAAACAACCACACCGCTGTTCGCTCACTTCCCCCTCTTACTGGGATGGGGGGAGAATTGAAAAGAAAAAGGTAAAATTCGTGGCTTGAGTTAAAGACAGTTTAATAGGACAGAAAAAGAAGATAATTAATTAATTAATAATAATAGAATATACAAACCAAGTGATGCACAGCAAAATTTCTCACCACCTGAAGCCAATGCTCAGCTAGTTCCTGAGCTGCCTCGCCTCCCAACCAACCCTCCAGTTATATACAGCG